TTACGAGCTAGAGTGCGCGATCAAGCTTCGCCCTTAAATGCACAAAATCCACCTGCGTACGAAATTTGCTTATTTCCAAGTTTCTTCGTGACAGATGATAAGAATAAGACCGAAAAATTAAAAAAAAAAAAAAAAACGAATCCTAAAAATAGAGAGATCTGCAATATATCGCAGGAACCTATAATGTCGCGCACAGGCGTGATGAAGTCTTCAATAAAAATGCACAAAATCCGCCTGCGTACGAAATTTGCTTATTTCCAAGTTTCTTCGTGACAGATGATAAGAATAAGACCGAAAAATTAAAAAAAAAAAAAACGAATCCTAAAAATAGAGAGATCTGCAATATATCGCAGGAACCTATAATGTCGCGCACAGGCGTGATGAAAAGTCTTCAATAAAAATGCACAAAATCCACCTGCGTACGAAATTTGCTTATTTCCAAGTTTCTTCGTGACAGATGATAAGAATAAGACCGAAAAATTAAAAAAAAAAAAAACGAATCCTAAAAATAGAGAGATCTGCAATATATCGCAGGAACCTATAATGTCGCGCACAGGCGTGATGAAAAGTCTTCAATAAAAATGCACAAAATCCGCCTGCGTACGAAATTTGCTTATTTCCAAGTTTCTTCGTGACAGATGATAAGAATAAGACCGAAAAATTAAAAAAAAAAAAAACGAATCCTAAAAATAGAGAGATCTGCAATATATCGCAGGAACCTATAATGTCGCGCACAGGCGTGATGAAAAGTCTTCAATAAAAATGCACAAAATCCGCCTGCGTACGAAATTTGCTTATTTCCAAGTTTCTTCGTGACAGATGATAAGAATAAGACCAAAAAATTAAAAAAAAAAAAAAACGAATCCTAAAAATAGAGAGATTTGCAATATATCGCAGGAACCTATAATGTCGCGCACAGGCGTGATGAAAAGTCTTCAATAAAAATGCACAAAATCCATCTGCGTACGAAATTTGCTTATTTCCAAGTTTCTTCGTGACAGATGATAAGAATAAGACCAAAAAATTAAAAAAAAAAAAACGAATCCTAAAAATAGAGAGATCTGCAATATATCGCAGGAACCTATAATGTCGCGCACAGGCGTGATGAAAAGTCTTCAATAAAAATGCACAAAATCCATCTGCGTACGAAATTTGCTTATTTCCAAGTTTCTTCGTGACAGATGATAAGAATAAGACCGAAAAATTAAAAAAAAAAAAACGAATCCTAAAAATAGAGAGATCTGCAATATATCGCAGGAACCTATAATGTCGCGCACAGGCGTGATGAAAAGTCTTCAATAAAAATGCACAAAATCCCTGCGTACGAAATTTGCTTATTTTCAAGTTTCTTCGTGACAGATGATAAGAATAAGACCGAAAAAAAAAAAAAAAAAAACGAATCCTAAAAATAGAGAGATCTGCAATATATCGCAGGAACCTATAATGTCGCGCACAGGCGTGATGAAAAGTCTTCAATAATAATAACGACGCAAACAACGAGAAATCGTGGCCGCACGCGAACAAAAGAAATAGCGGCGGCCCATTAGAGGGCTGTACGAGACGCGACCCTCGCGCGACAGCGCGCGCGCTGCGGGGCGGATAGGGCTCAGGGTCGTTTTTCAAGGGGGTCAAGGGGAGTCTGCGCCCCGAGGACACGCTTATTAATATCAACCTCTCTAACTCGAGTTCGAAAAACGTCCAATTTTTCCCACGTTTCAATGGAAACTGCGACTCTTCTCAGCTCGTCCAGTCGATTCGAAAAGATCCATGTTGCGGCAGTTTTGATTACAAATTGAAAAAAAAATTATTTCTCGAATTGAAATTAATTTGATTAATCTTTTAGATCGATATCTTTCTTGAGACTATATGTTGTTTTATATTACGCAGAGAAAATATTCTCGTGGAACAATTTATGGTATCGGGAGAATTTTATATAATAGTATCTCTGATTAAAATATTTACCACAATAAAAAAGATTAATATCTATTACAATAAGAGACAAAATAGGTTTGATTAATTTGATGTTTTATTTGTGGTAAATTAATCAGAGAAACGTTGATCAAATTAATATAACCTCTCTAACTCGAGTTCGAAAAATGTCCAATTTTTCCCACGTTTCAATGGAAACTGCGACTCTTCTCAGCTCGTCCAGTCGATTCGAAAAGATCCATGTTGCGGCAGTTTTGATTACAAATTGAAAAAAAAATTATTTCTCGAATTGAAATTAATTTGATTAATCTTCTAGATCGATATCTTTCTTGAGACTATATGTTGTTTTATATTACGCAGAGAAAATATTCTCGTGGAACAATTTATGGTATCGGGAGAATTTTATATAATAGTATCTCTGATTAAAATATTTACCACAATAAAAAAGATTAATATCTATTACAATAAGAGACAAAATATGTTTGATTAATTTGATGTTTTATTTGTGGTAAATAGTAATCAGAGAAACGTTGATTAAATTCTTCTTGGGTAAATTCTAAGAGAAAATGTTCTCCGTGTATGATTTAGATATTATTTATAATATCGAGTTGGAATTATATACTATATTATTTTGATTTAATTTTATTAATAATTTCATTAATACATTTTTATTTTTTATTTATTATCGATATATTGTCATATTTTGACTTAATATATAAAATATATCGAAAACAATTTTATAAATTATTTATATTATAATATACTTTTGCAATTATATTTATAAATTGATTATTAAATCACTACAATTTTTTCAAGCTTCCTTGAATAGGTTTGAATAAATTCTTTTTTAATTCATTATACATACATTTATGAGAGATAACAAGGAGATTTCGCGCAAACAGATAATTATGAATTCGGCTATTATACATTCTTCCCTATAGCATACATTTCCATTTTGTGTCAGCTTTTTATCAAGATTTCGGCCTTTGATCTAGAATCGTGCGAGAGGGAGATAATTGCTATGCGAGCTACATTTTCTCTCGGATTGACATAACTCTTTCGGTTGTGCACACACCGGATGCTCCTCCGTGGCGCGGCAAACCGTCGAACGCGGGCCGAAATATATTCCGGTTTCTCTCCGGGGCATTATCGTTCTCACAATGTCACGACCGTCGTGCGTGATTCCGGCACGACGTCACGGTCCCATTGACGCCGACCCCTGCTCCGAGGCACCTTAAACGGATTCGTCAAACATTTTTCGTGACCCCTTTTCCATTTTAATTTTTGAAAATAAACGCAACGAAATTTCAGAAAAAAGGAGAGTAAAGGCTTCATTTTTTTTCAGGGGGGTAAATTTCTTTTCCTTTTTGTTCTTTTTTTTATTTTCAACAGTGTTCAAAAGACCAGAGTAAATATTACTAAATTCAGGAGGGATGTTCCGCAAATTTTTTTTGTTCCTTATTTTTGTTCTTAATTTTATTCTTTTTATTTTATTTTTTTTTGAAATATTAAACATGCAAATAAATTTCAGTGTTTTGAAAAAAGGAGAGTAAATACTTCATTTTTTTACTAATTTTAGGGGGGCATTAAAATTTCTTTTTGTTTTTTTTTTTTTTATTTTCAACAGTGTTTATTCAAAAGACCAAGAGTAAATATTACTAAATTCAGGAGGGCATGATTAAAATTTCTTTTTGTTCTTAATTTAATTTTGTTTATTTTCAATTTTTTTTAATATTAAACATGCAAATAAATTTCAGTGTTTTGAAAAAAGGAGAGTAAATACTTCATTTTTTACTAATTCCAGGGGGGCATTAAAATTTCTTTTTGTTCTTTATTTTTTTATTTTCAACAGTGTTTATTCAAAAGACCAAGAGTAAATATTACTAAATTCAGGAGGGCATGATTAAAATTTCTTTTTGTTCCTTATTCTTTGTTCTTAATTTTATTTTGTTTATTTTGTTTATTTTCAATTTTTTTAAATATTAAACATGCAAATAAATTTCAGTGTTTCGAAAAAAGGAGAGTAAATACTTCATTTTTTTACTAATTTTAGGGAGGGGGCAAATGCACCCTCTCACCTTCGCCCTGCGGACGATGTTTTATTCTGTTTTACGAGTTTAAGCTGCGGGATTAGGCATTTAATTTCGATCGTCGAAAGTTTTCGAAACTGAATTAGAAAATAAAGTTTTTATGGTAAAGTATAACCGGCTCGTAAAACCTCGAAATCCGACCCTTTTCGAGGATTGAGAGAGAGAGAGAAAACACGCTTGTGTGTTTCTATTCGAGGAGGGTTTCCACACGCTAACCGAATAATCGAGAGGGAACCACCCTCTCTCTTTCTGTCCCTTCCATTTAGATATATATTCTACGTGTGGACCCTCGTCTTTAGAGTGAAGGACTCGGTTTGATCCTCTTTCCCCTTAATCCTCGACCGGGTGTGCCTTTGTCGAAAGTCTCAGCGCAGAATATGCTCAAGGTCCCCATTTGTATTATACGTTTCCAATAATATATAATGTACTTTGTACGTTAAACCAACATTAATCTGACTTGTTTACAAAATGCCTAAAAATCAATCTTTTTTTCTTCTCACCTTTACAATGTCAATATTTATTTTTCGAACAAAAATATCTCGAAGGATTTAAAAGGCTTAAGCATATTTCCTTGAATATCGACACAAGAGTTGAACAAGTTTCAAAAAAGCGCGCGCATTTTCCCCGATGAAATGTCATCCGAAAAAGCGATCGAAATTCGTGGATCGCGTTACGAGACGATCTCGAGCGATCGAAGTCGGAAACGGCGTTTAATAACAATTTCGGCCACGATGCCTCGCGGGGCAGAATTTCCTGCAGCGTGGGGAAAGAACAGAAAGGGCCTCGCGAGAGTGGGAAGGGAGCCTTGGAGTGAGCGAGATGGACGGGTTGAAGGGAGATCGTATCGTCCCGTTCTGGCACGACACGAGGTCGCGGAGCCGAAGCCGAGCGCGGCCGAGCTTGGCCGAGCGCGGCCGAGCCTCCGCGCTCGAGAGTGGGGAGGAGCGGGCGTTCAGTAGCTACGTTCAGTCGAGCCAGCGCCGTCGTAGTCGAATGGTCGCAGTCGTGCAGCGTCGCGCGGAGTCACTCGACGCGGCCGAGAAACGAGGGTGGAGGAGAGACGGAGAGGCGCTCGACACGATTACGTATTTTTGTCCTACGTGATCACGGGTGAATATTCGAGGTGAACGGTAGGAGAAGAAGGGAAGAAGTGACCGAAGGAAAATTTCGGAACGCACTTGGGAGAGAGCGTCGCCGCACGGATACACGGGAGTGAAAAATGCGGTAGTGACAGTGAGACACGCTGAGTGCGAGGAGAGACTCGGAATTAATCGCTCGTTGTAATTTCGCGTCATTCGCCCGCAGCTCGTCATCGCCTCGAGTTGGTCCGGCGCCGGTCGAACGACGAGAGAGATAGATAGAAAAGGCTCTCTCGGGCGGGTGGGGGGTGGGGGGGAAGAGAGAGGAGGTTGCTCTCTTGGCGCGACTCAGCCGGAAGAGTTATGACGAGCTCGCGCTCCATTCAAGGACGAAGAATTGTTGTTCGCGCGCATGTGTCCAGTAGTGGGATATAGTGTCAACGACAAGTCGCCGCTCGCAGATCTGGATACCTTGCTGTCGACACCCGCCGGGCCCGGATTGTCTCATGTCAGGATGGCGCTGGCGCGGTACGTACACTCGTACGGCTCACCGTTGTCGGAGCTAGGGTGGGTCCTTCGTCCGTCCGGGACTAACCACCGCGAGGGGTAGAGATGGAGAGGGGAGAAAAGCGTTTGTGTGTCTGTTTGACCGGTACGAGGAGAGTAATCGCATCGATCCGAGCCGGTAGCGTCCGACAAAGACGTTCCTTTCCTCGCCTGTCGACTATTTCCCTCTTTCTCTCTCCCACTGATGACAGTAATGGCACCGGTTAGGCTAACCGGTTCAAATCATCTCACTTTGCGAATTTATATATACATATTTGTTGTCGAGACCCTAATAGGAGATCCAGAGGACATTCTCTGAACGTCGACGTGTTAGGGGATATATTGAGGAAAAACATGTACAAAAATCAAATTGCTCCGAGAATTGCTTTCGAGGAATCCGCCTCGACGAAGGCGCGACGGTCAACGACCCGTCGTCCCTTCGACGAGGATAGCGGCCAAGTATCGCGATGGCCATTAGCCGTCCGTTTCGTTCTTTTGTCCGTCCCTCTTTCTCTCTATCCCTTCTGGTCGCGACTTCGCATTCGCGCTGGCCGACTGGAAAGTTCTTGGTCAAGTCGCGCGAGCGAAGGAGCTGAATCAAGGTGAATACACCTTTTTACGTTAGACGCCGACCTTCCTGAGGCTGCCTCGATGTGGGCTCCGTCACGGCTCAGCGATTCCCTCCTGCCTGCTTTCGATATAGACACGTCCGACCGTGAACGCGACTCGCTGGAATTCGAATGTGGAAACGGGCTTTTATATTCGCGTGTCGAGCCGCTCGTTCTTGAGACGAGTCGACGAGGACTCTCGACGGAATCGCCGATCTTGTCGGAAGAAGGCTGGAATTCGCGGAGACCGTTTTAGTATCCAAATATTTGGAAATATTTCAGTGTTTACACGCCGATCTTATATCAATGCTGGATTTAATATTAGAATTTTCAATGATTTTAAAATGACCTAGCTTATCCGCTCTACATAAATCAGGGTATCGGCTCGACGAGAATTTTCGGCTATCTTATCGGAAAAAAGGTGGAACTCACAGAAAAAGAGATCCCAAATATTTAGGAATATTTTTATCGTCTGTACCAAAGTGTTTACATGATAATCTCATCAATGCTATATTTAATATTTTAATTTTTAACAATTTGAAAATAATCAAAAACATAGCTTATACGCAGAGAGAATTTTATCTTAAAATTTACTCTGAAAATCATATTGTAATTGTGGAACAATATATGGTATTGGAAGAATTTTGTAAGAGTTTGTCTGATTAATATTTTTGCTACAATAAAAAATATTAAAATGTTAATATATCTTAAGATATATCCGCTCTACATAAATCAGGATATCGGCTCGATGAGAATTTTCGGCTATCTTATCGGAAAAAAGGTGGAACTCACAGAGAAAGAGATCCCAAATATTTAGGAATATTTTTATCGTCTGTACCAAAGTGTTTACATGATAATCTCATCAATGCTATATTTAATATTTTAATTTTTAACAATTTGAAAATAATCAAAAACATAGCTTACACGCAGAGAGAATTTTATCTTAAAATTTACTCTGAAAATCATATTGTAATTGTGGAACAATATATGGTATTGGAAGAATTTTTTAAGAGTTTGTCTGATTAATATTTTTGCTACAATAAAAAATATTAATATATCTTAAGATATAAAATAATATTAATATTTTTCATTGTGATAAATACACTGAAAAAAATGTATTGAATTTGAATAATTATTTATTTCAATACTGCCTAATAAATCATTCATTTGAAACTAATATTAATGATTTGATGTGAAAAATATTTATCTGATATAAGAAAATCCTTTTTAAAACAGATAAATGATTTATTAGACAGTATTGAAATAAATATTTATTAATTTCATAATTTCTTTTAGTGTATTAATTAGAAAAACTCTTATAAAATTCTTCCAATATTATTCCACGATTAGCATGATTTTTAAGGTAAATTCTAAGAGAAAATTATCTCCGTGTATGCTCTATATAGACAAGTATACATATAAATTGGAATACTAATTAAAATAAGATAACACGAATTTACAGAAATATAATTATGGTTAAATATTCATCTCCGAAAATACGATAAGCTTGATATTTTAAGTATCAATTTCGAATATCATGATGAATCGGAATGTCGCGAAAAAACATTTCGTTCTGGTTCACGATTCACGTTTTTTCGTGCCAGCTGTAACTTCATTATTATTTTATGACTGTGTTTATTCAGCGAGTGATTAAAAATACTTATAATAATGATGAAAATCACGGGAGAAAATGATAACAAAGATGTTTTTAACGATCGCTCCGGGTGAATTTCGATTCCTACGTCCTTTCGTGACATTTGTCGAAGAGAAAGAAGAGCTCATTGTGAAATTACCATTTTTATTATCTACCTTTATCGAGCCATCGATGTCGATTACATCAGCGCGAGTCACGAAGCTGATTGTGAGAGTAACGTCTGTTTATTACTTACACTTCAAATATTTATGTTATACGTGTTGCCGCATTCGATATAAACACGCGATCCTTTCGCCCGCGAATTCTAACCGCGTGTTATTCGCGAATCGAGCAAACGCAGATGTCGAAACGACTAATTACGTCGCCATCGTGTTACATATGTATATACATACGTGTAATGTACACATCGCAACGACAGTTATTTTTCAGTTTCGTCAATGGGACGATCTTTATACCGTTAGTCATTATTTCCTGTTTCTATATCTGCTCTCTCTCTCTCTCTCTCTTCATCAATATACGACTCGAAAGCGGTGAATCACGAGACTATAAACGGATTCTCTCCCTCAGAGAGACCCATCCCTCCATCCGACTATCTATGATTTAACGATCGCGATATAGTATGTCGGAGCGTGTATATTTTTAGAATTGTACCTGTGCGACGAGCGTGTCCTTGACATTGCTACGCCCTTCCTTCCCGCGAATGCAAAAATTGCCTGTAACATTGCGGAGAATTATTATCCCGGCTACTCCGCTCGGTTTTACGGAGCGAGTTAATCTCGCCAGCGAATAACCCTGTAAAGTTTGTAGCGAGCACTTTTTTTTTTTTTTTTAAGAATTGCACGACAAGTCCAGGACGACGAATTTTTCCTGCAATTTAGAGCTCGAGATTGAAGGTTGCGAAATTATTCCTCGTGAAAATTTAATGTAAAAAAATTTCCTGGAATTTTTTTTATGTAAAATGGTGAAATTTAATATCGACGATTATACAGAGAAGTATTTACATCTTCGTTAGAGCAATGTTATTGATATTTACTTATTCGTTATTTAATAATTACTACAATAAAAATATTAATATGTATCACAGTGAGATGTAAATTATGTTCAATTAATACTCGATACTCGACTAAATCTTTCGACTAAATTACTATTTATTAATTGAACATAATTAGTATTTTAGTCGAATATATGTTTTATTAGATTTAATGTTATATTTAATTTAGATATTTTTATCTGTTTAATTAAAAAATAATAATTTTGTTAAATGGTTTAGTCAAGTTGATAAATTTTTTTCAGTCCATTATTAATATTTTTATTGTGATAAATATTAATTGGAGAAACTCTTATGAAATTCTTCCAATACCAGCATATTGTCCCACGATAACCATGATTTTCCGGGTAAATTCTAAGAGAAAATTCTCCCCATATATCGATGATAAATCTCGCTTTAAATGCGCTCGTGCGATTCCCAATCGCTAATTGCTCCATTCGCGCGTTATTAATGTTAATCGCGGGAACGATAAATGCCGACGTTTATTAAGTGTAATACCTGATTCCGGAAGTGTAGATTCTCTATCGTAAGATATATTGCGCTTATCTCCGGTTTTCCACAATCTCCTCTTCTGCATCTTCGCTACTTGCATCGGCTGCCTGCGCGCTATCTTTGTCGAACTCACATGACGTGACCTTCACGTATCACATCGAAGATTTATAGTTAGACTGCCTGCGGATACCTTTTACTGCCTGTCCACGCAGTGTTTCCTCCGGCATTTTCACGCATCTACTTAATCCTCGGGCGACCTTTTAATGCCTTTTAACTACCCGCGTCAGACGAATGACGTCTGTGTCTTCTTAGACGGTATTATAGCACTTGTATATATACAGGGTGTCCCAGACTTAACGTGACACACGTTAATGGGAGATTCCCAAGGTTGGGTAAGTTAATGATTTTTTAAACCCAAGTTAAATTAAAGTTAATTGCTTATCAAATTAATTTAGTTAAGTTACAAGTTTTTATGAATAAGAAATTAACTCAGTTAAATCAAAAGTTAATTTTTAAAAATATTATTTATCTTAAATTCAAATTTTGTTTGTTCATTCTTTTGAAATATATAATAACAACAAAGAAATTTTGATTTTTATATAGAAATATATTTTTGGTAATTATAAATTGATGACAAATGAACATAAAAGTTAATAATACTTTAATTTAAAAATAATACGTTTATAACTTATAAAAAAACAATAATGGTATTCAAAGATAAAAAAAATTTAACTTAGGAAAAAATAAGTTAAGTTAAAAATGATTAACTTTTTAATTTTTTTTAACTTTTAACTAATTAACTAGTTATTACCCAACCTTGGAAATTGCCAAGATTATTTGGAGACGGATTTTTCCTGAGCAAAAATATTCAGGCACCAATAATTTTTCGAATTATAAGCGATTGAATATAAGGGGTTTTTCGCAAACTAAGCCTTGTGGAAATATAATATTAACGAAATCACATTCTTTTATTAATTCATATAGTTTACTTTAAAAAAATTTTAATTTAAGGCTTAGTTACAAAGATACATGATTTCAAAAATTGCGGGAACCTGCAAAAAATGATGGCTTTCCTCGACATTTTCGCTGAGAAAAAATTGTCTCTAAATAATTTTAGGAATATCCCATTAACGTGTGTCACGTTAAGTCTGGAACACCTTGTATATATATATATATATAT